CTATAATGTGAGCTAAGTTATAATTAGAAATTGACCACAGATATCTTTCCTCTTATTTTAAATTATCTATTTTGTCCTCATCTCTAGTTCCTAGACCCTTATCCTCCAGAACCATTTATTTTGTCTTTTTTTCTCCCATTTCACCCATTGGTAAAGCCTAAGAGGTTGTGTTTCACTAAACTATCTCTTCTGTAGAAGAAAAAACAAAAGATGATCAATAATGAAGATTTACCAAATTTAAGATTTAAAATATGTGATTAACCACTGGTTGCCCCCAAACATTATTTTTTCCCATGATGATAAATTTCTTCATATATTTTTTTTCCATATGGCACTTTGGCTTTTAAAATGTCAATGGCATAACTCACAACTGCTAGGAATGCATACCTGTGGAATGAGGACACAGCAATAACTATGTTTACTTCTGATACTGGAACTAAGCCAACTCTGTGGAACACCGCTATGTGTTTTACAGGCAATTTCTACCTAATGTCACTACAGATTTTTCTGATTTCAATTTTCTGCCATTGATATATATATACTTCATATTCTAAAGTAATGACTTTTTTTCCCTTTAAAATTATTTCCTGTAGTCCCTAAAAATAAGGACACTGCACCACACATTGGAGAATCACCAAATGTGAGACTTCATATACCAAAAGTTTCTCAGCAGGGCATTTTATTATACCTTTAGATTTCTCTTCAGTATCACTGATATTTTTCTCACCTGACTGAAAATCATTATCCTCCACAGTTTTGTCTCCTGGCTGAAATGGAGGAGCTGATCTTCTAATTCGACATACTCTTAGGTTTTTTGAGACAGAATTTCACTATCCAGTTCAGGCTGGCCTTCAACTCACTTTATAGCCCAGGTCGGCCTCAAACTTGCAGCAGTCTTCCTGCCTTAGCTTCCCAAGTGCTGGGATTATAAGCATGTGCCAGCACACCCAGAATTCAACAGACTCTTGATGGACAGCAAATATCACCTGATTTTTAATATCAGCCAGTTCAGGATGTTGTTTCTGTCTCTTTCTACAGCTGCAATATTTAATTTTTGTGCTGTAGAACTGGTCTCTGAGGGGATTTATCTCAATGGCTTCAGAGCCTGCCTGGTAAGCTCAAGGTTATGAGTTCAATCCCTGGTACCAATAAAAAAAAGTCTCTGAATGAACTCACACTATTTCAGCACTTTTTGCAAAATACAGTACTTCAACCTGGTAGCTGGGTACCACTCTGCCTACTACCAAAGGGTTCAGCTATAGTAATGTAATGTTCTTAAGCAAAGCTTTGCGTCAGAAGTGCTAATGCTGTGTTCTTTCTTAAATACATGTTATTGGTCCTCATCCTTGGAGGTTGTTTGCACAGTTTCCACTGTAAACTGACTGTAGTTTTACAAATACTACAGATGATTATGCTGTGTTCAGGCTGGGCCATTGTCTCTGGGAGAATGGTTAGGCTCTTGTGTGTGATGATTTCCCTGACTTCTAATTCAGAGTACAGGGTGAGCCTAGGATTCCATACACTAAACAGAACCAAGCTATTGAGCCGGTATGCCATCACGTCAAGATTGGAGGAATCTCAGTACCTTTCCCTACAGTTACACAAAACCAAACTGCCCACCACAGAAAAACCTGTAAGCTGTTTCAATATCATTGGATATTTTTAATATAAATCTACATTTTTGTTCCCTATTGAAAAAAAGTAGTCATGTGATGCCTAGCCACATTTGTGTAGGTCTAGCAGAGAGAGAAATCACTTTCAGGTTTTTTTAAAATATGTATTTATGATACATAATAATTATGTCCATCTTGGGGAATTGTTACATGTGCAAATAACATATTAATCATTTTTACTCGCCTTTACCACCTTCTTTCCACATATTTCCTTTCCATCTGTGCAGAGTACTTCCTGTTTCCTACTGTCTCTCTTTGTATCCCTTTCTATTATTTATGCTTGCAGTTCTTGTATTACAAACACCATGGAATATTTAACCTTCTATGTCTGATTTATTTAATGTGGCATTATGGTCTCAAGGTTCATCCACTGACCTACAAGTGACTCAAATTTATCATTCTTTTTGACTGAGTGTTACTCCATGCTGTATCCATTCATTTGTTGATGAGCATGTAAACTCCTACAATTTAACTATTGTGAATTGCAGTGCTGTATACCTGAGTGTAAATGTGTGACTGTAATATGATGGCTTTACTCTTTCATAACTATACACAAAAGAGGTATAACTGGGTCAAACTGAATTTGTTTTTAGTTTTTTGAGAAATCTACTAGTTATACTAGTTTATATTCCTACCAACAGTGTAGAAGGGTTCCTTTTTCCCTATAACATTGCCAACATTTGTTGTTTTTTTGAGTTCTTGATGATGGTCCTTCTTAATGGAGTAAGATAGAATATTTGCATTGTTTCAATTTGATTTTTCTAATGGCCAATAATGCTGAAATTTTTTTCATATACTTATTGGCCATTTACACTTCTCATGAGAAGTGTCTATTCATTTCTATTGCCCATTTTTTGATTGGGTCTTTTATTGGAGAGATCTAAGTTTTTTGACTTCTTTGTATGTTCTATATCAGTGGTGGCGAACTTTGACACACATGCCACAGCTAACTGTTATCATTGAAAGCTCTAAAAAATCCACCATCACTGTTCTAGATATTAGTTTTCTGTCCAAGGAGTAGCTGACAAATACTTTCCCCATTTTATAGGTTGATTGTTCACTCTGTTAGTTTGTACTTTGGGTACAGAAACTTTTTAAATTTGATGCAATTCCATGTTTTGATTCATAGTGCAGTTAAGGGTTCTTTTCAGAAAGCCCTTGACTGTGCCTATATCTCCAGGAGTGTTATAAATTTTTTCTTCCATCAGCTTCAGTGTTTCTATTTTCATCTGTGGGTCTTTGGTCCATTTAGATTTGGTTTTACTACATGGTGAGAGATATGGATCCAAATTTATTCTTCTACACACGGATAACCAGTTTTGCCAATACCATTTATTCTGTATGACACTTGAAACTTCAGCCAGAGCAGTCAGGTTATTGGAAAAAATCAAAGGGATAAGAGGAAAGAAAACGTCTAAGTATCCTTATTTGCAGATGGCATGATCTTTTACAGAGAAAAACCCAAAAACTCTTATCGGAAGATTCTTAATACTATTAAATTCAGCAAAGTGATAGGATAGAAAATCACACGAATATCAGTAGTGTTACGTACACCAACGGTGAACCCACCAAGAAGGAAATCAGGCAAATATAGCTCCAAAAAATTAAATACCTAGGAATTAATGTAATCAAGAAATTGAAAAACTTTTATAATGAAAATCACATGTGCTCTGACAAATGAGATTAAGGAGGATATTAGGAGATGGAAAGACATTTTAAGCAGAACCAATTTTCAAAATGGCCATGTTATAAATATGATAAATAGGTTTATCTCAGGCCTATTAAAATGCCATCAACATTTTTTAAAGAACTAGACTTGAAATTCATACATTTATGTAGAACCAGATGAGACACAAAATAACAAAAGCAACCCTGAAAGAGCAATGCAGAAAGCATTACAATCCCAGACTTCAAATTATATGTAAAAATTACAGTAAATAAAACAGCATGGTTCTGGAATCAAAGCGTGTTGAATAATAAAATAACATAGAGGACAAAGAAACAACTCTGAACACATTTAGCCATGTGATTTTTGATTAAAAAAATCAATAACATGTATAGGCTTCAGTGTTTTTAATAGTGTGTTGCTTTTTTACTTCCTTGCCAAGTATGTTATGAGCATTAGTTATAAAGGCCCTGACAGAATATAATAGTCTTGTGTGAAAACCACATTGCATGAAATAAAACTTATTTTAAATATGTTCTCTGTATGTATAATGGTGTGTAGTTAGTTTTGTAGCAAGTACTTACAAATAAAAATACAGACCTATCTTCTTCCTTTTGCTTAAGTATTTTCCGTATTTTGGAGTTAAAATCTGAATAAGATAGAACTGTGATTACACTAAGAAGCCCAATGACATTTGTATCAGGAATATTTCATTGCTTTTTTATGTCAGAGAAAGTGATTACATGTTGGGAAAAAAAGAGGCAATTACTGGCATACTGACAAAATACATGTTTGTATACACCATTTTGATGTTGCACAGGGAAATACTTTAGGTACATTTTGGATAGGCAGGTGGGGGTTTTAAGTCTATAAGCTATAAATCAGTCCATTCAGTCAGACCATTTAACTTGGATGGGAGAAGGGATAGGATGCTGGTAGATTTTTATATACAAAAAGAACTTTAGTCATTCAGCATTTCTTTTTTGGCTTATTAACAGCTTGTGGATAGATTGAACCTTGGAAATGTATTATAAAACGCCAGAAAGATCTAGAGAATGAAGAAAAAGTTTGAAGAGCAGGCAAAAGAAACAAATTATTAGAAATTTGAGAAACAGATCTTGAAAGTTAGGTTGCACATTCTTGAGAGTAGTGGTAAAAGGATGTATGCAATTTTACCATTGTGATTTTTAGAAGTTATTTTTACTATGTAGGATTAGAGACAAAGAATATGGGTCATTTATCTCTGTAATATTGGGTTTAGATCAAAGTAGACTGAAGAGGAGAATAGAGAGAACTTGGTTTTCTTACTGTAAAATTTTCTGTCAGTTTGAACAGTGAGCATGCTGCCATGTTCTGTGGGAACTTTGTTCATCTTCTGGTTGAATAACATGTACTCCAGCAGCCCAGTGGGGAATTATATGTTATTTTCAATTCCTATCCCTAATGTTGATACCAAGTAAACATTTTCAATAAGATTTATCAAATCATTTCATTTTGGTACCTATATCCTCGTGAAAAATATCTTATCCTAGTAATAGTCTGTATACATAAGCATTTAAGCTTTTAACCTGTGAAAGGTCTTAATATCAGTGTTATATGTTTTAAGTAATATTTTACCTTAAAGCTCAAATTTAAACTAAAACTTGTACTGTTTTTTTTAGGACAGCCAGTAGAGGGGACTTCATGTTTTCTGCGGATCGTTTGGTAGGTGGAGGCTTTCTATTTTCATTTCATTATTGTATGTAGTGATATAATTATGATAGGCCAAGTTTTTGTTGTTGTTATTTTAGAGCATAGTGAGGGGGTAACCATCATCTTGCTAGCCTTTTGAAGCCTCTGCTACTGTTGCAATGAGGCTCTGCTTCATATCCTTTTACCAGGAAGCGTTGACCATGGACTCATTTTCTGTAGTTGTCAGCTACTACTAGCTCTCAGATGGATCTTGGTAATCGGGTTTTCAGCAACTCTTAAATGCTTCATTTTAGGGCAGTAAAATGAAGCACATTAGAAGAAAACCAAAGATACAAGGACACCAAGAAATTACCCTTAGTAGTATCTAGCTAATTCACAAAAACTAATACGTATTTTCTAGTTTGCCAGGAGGTAGCATCTATTTCATCTCTCTTCTTTATTATCACACATGAAATAATAAGTTGGACTATTTACATTGAAATACTAAGTTGGACTATTTATATTTTTTGGGAACTTCCTATAAAGGATTGACCAAGCCAAATTCTGTTCATGTCATGTAAGAGGATCTCAGGCAAAATTAGTTTGTCTTCAGAGTAACCGCTGTGTTATATAAGTGTGCGCAGTGCTTTGAATGAAGTTGATGCATTTTCTGCTGTGGTTATTAGTCTTGTTTGATTAACAAAATGCACACTGGTCTAGGTTAGGTGATGCTAAGCTGTTTGGTGAGCAAGGTGATAAAACATTCATAAATATAGAGATAGTCCTTGATCTTGTGGAATTTAAATTCTAAATACTCTTGTCTGTACTCAATTTGGGAAAGAAATAAACATGGCTTACAACCTCAAAGTTATAATAAGGTAGAATTAGGGTTATTAAAGGAAATATGAAAATTTTCATTTAAATTTTTTCTTAGAGACTTTTCCAAGGGTACAACTACTGTTCTGCTTTTTGGTTTTAACTATTTTTGGTCCAGAGACAAATTATATTTAAAATTATTTGAGATTTCAGAGGTAGTAATAATGTTTGGATAAAACCAAAATAATTGTGGTTGACATTCCTGGGGCAATAGATCATCCTGTCTTTTGAGCTTTTATCAAATTGAAAAGAAACATTTGAGGAGAAAAATATTTGTATGTTAGTAGCTGATATGGAAAGATCAGTGGTCTTTATGTTCATTGTTAGAAAATTATTCTTTCTTTCCTTGTGTTCTATTTTTCTTTTTCTGATTTTTGTTTTTTTTGTTTGAGGTAGGGTCTTGATATGTTGCACAAGCCGGCCTCAAACTTCTGGGCTTAAGCAGTCTTTCTGCTTCAACCTCTTGAGTAGCTGAGAATACAGGTGTGCACCACTGTGCTAGGCACATGTTCATTTCTGTAGGAAAGAGGAATTAAGTTCATAGTTAATGTAAAATGCTCCCGTGAAATGGCAGACATTATATAGTAGTTGAGTGAGATAAGGAGCTATTGCATAATTCACCAGAAGTGCTGGTAATTTGAACCTCTCTGTTGTCTGCAGTTGGCATTGAAGGACTGGATTAAGGGATGGGGGAGTCTTTTGTGGTTTTCATAGGCATTCTATTTATATTTTTATTGTTAAGGATTTAGTCTATAGTTCAAGGGTCCTTTTATGATGAACATTAATTCTACCCTAAATTTGTCATGGTTGGCTTCCCTGGACTTCAGATCTTTTACTGTTGAATGCTGGGGATTGAACCCAGGGCCTTGTGCATTTTAAGCATGCACTTACCACCGAGATGTGCTCCTCCAGCCTCTTCCTAATTAGTTATTCTTCTGGTTTTGTGCTCTCTAGTAAGACTGGGACATCCTAATTTCTGTCCCAGGGCTTCAGGGGTGGGACAAGAGACAAGATTTTTTGGAAGAGTGTTATAAGGAGGAAGAGGTGATGCTGTTCAAAGAAAAGAATTCTCTTTTACCTTGTAACTTCATTAAAGAACGTAAGTCTCAACAGAAGGTGATGACTAGAGGTGAGTGTATACATGCATATAGAATTCATGAGTTTTCTTGTCCCTCTCTGATTCTGCAGACTGACAAAGTACTAGCCCATTTATAATTGATCTTTTTAATGGCACCAGGGTGGTGTTGTATTGTGATAACAGAACATGAAGTCTAGTGCTTCTTTCTGTTATTTCTGATTCTTAATAACACAATATTGTTTTGAGAAAATATGTATTACAGGCTCAACAGTGCTTTTGTTATAATAGGCTTTGGTCACTCATGGGAATGGCATGTCTGGCTTTGGGAGGCTATTCCTAGTAGTTTTATGTGATTCTTTTCTATGTACCATATATGATTATTGAGAGGCTTTTCTTTATCTGAAACAGGATCTTCCTTCAGTCTCAACAGATTGATTCAGCCCCTACACTCATTTATTTTCTTACAAAAAATTTTAGGCTTCATTTGAAAAAATTTTTAAAAAAATTTTAAAAATCCACCTTAATGATTTCAAAGATGCTGAACAAGACAGAGAAAGTCCCAATGGGCATTATTTTCAGAGTGATCAGAAGGATATTACTACCAGGAGTGTCTTCCGTGGCTCTTGTCATTTGCTGGAGTTTGAATCTCTCATAACATGAATTAGTTGAATGGGAATGAGAAGGCGTATTGGAGCCCTTTAATGTCAATCATGTACCTAATGGAGGTTGGAAAACTGGAAGCAAATAACTTGCCATTTGGGTCTACCCCTGCATCTAATATGCAGTAGGGGCCCCCCTTCCTACCCCAATTTGCTAACTCTTGCCTAGGATGTTATTGACCTTGCCTACTCTTCAGCTCCTGAGGCTACAGGTAATAGGAGATTTTCAGCAGGTCCTCATTTTATTCTTCCTTTGACTTTCTATTCTAGATCAGACTTGTTGTGGAAGAGGGATTGAATCAGCTGCCATATAAAGAATGTATGGTGACAACTCCAACAGGTAACCAGGACTGTTACTCTCAAATTTTTCTCATGAAAAATCTGAGTTGAATGGAAGAAAATGTAAAGAAAGCAATTTGAGTAAATTGGTATACAAAATTAGGAGTGTATGTGACACTGTTCTTTTGCACATTTTTAAAACTCTAAAAACTTGTAGAAATAGAAAAAGGACCTGAGAAAAGAGGAAGGAAGATGGAGGGGAGGGTAAAGACTAATAAAAATGGCTAATATGTGATATGTACAGGTTCCAATTACTCAAGATGAATGCAATTATTATGTACAGTGGTTATATACCAATACAAAGCTCTTAAGACATTTGATAAAGTGTCTCTGCCTGTGACTTTTTTTATTTAAAGAGAGAAAAAAAAGAAAGGACATAAAAAAAAAAACAATGCAGTAAAATGGTACAAATAATACAGCATTTCAAGAAAAAAATATATACAGTATGAAATCACCAGTTAATAGGTTATATATTATCTTCCCAGAAACAGTTGTCCATATTACTAAATTAAAGTATATAAAGTAGACATTCATACAGTGAAATTGGAGACAGTTCTGTTCAATGATTCAACAAAAGCTCAGTTATATGGTTTTCCATCCTACACACTCGAACATACCTGCGGTTATATCCCTTAGTCCACCTTACTTTACTCTCTTTTTTACAGTAACAATTAGACTTTTAGGGTTTTATTACTCCCACGGTTCTTATTACTTTTTTGAAGAGAATAAAAACAAATATGACTAAGCAAAACAGAGTCAGTTAGAACGGAAGGGTGGGCATAGCACATGATGCAAAAATAGAATACCAGGTGATCAAAAGTAGTTACCATTGTGCCTCTTGCTATTTTTAAATTGAGTTGTCTATATCATCAGGTATAATGGAATTGATCAAAACAGTACAGAACAAAACCAATAAAATCTACACTGAGGACTTTACAGGACTTCAAAAAAAGGATAATAGTCAATACATATTGGGCATCATAGTATATCTTATTGCCTTCAAAGTGGTTGCCTATACCCTCAAACTTGATACTATCAAACAAAATAGAATATATAATAATCAGACAGAACAAGATGGGGAGAGCAATACTGGGGTTCAAGTCAGGTTAATAGGACAACAAAAAAGTTACTATGATATGTCCCGTAATTTTTAATTTAGTTTTCCTTAATTAAAAAAGAGAGAGAAAATAGATAAATTTTAAAGAAGGGGGGAGATTGAGATAAGGGAGAACACTGTAATAGAACAATGCAGGGCAGAAGTAAGCAATTCAAGCATCATTGTGTTTTACCACCAGATAATCTAACATAATAGTAGCCGCCATAGTGCCTCTTTCCTTAAATTATTTGAGTGTAACTTCGTATGCTATAATATCAAGCATATCAAGGCAGTGTGAAGCCTTTCAAGAGAATACAAGAATTACAGGGTATTTAGAACCTGCTAATAGAAAATGAATGATGGTTTCTATATTATCTCTTTGCCTATAAAGAATTTTGTTTATACTATGGCATATAGTGAAATATAGTAAGATACAACATGATAAAACCACTGGAAACAGATGTACAACAGCTTGATGGGACTTCAAAACAAGATGATATTAAATCAGCACTAGCTTTTTATGTTGTGTTGCTTTCTTTAAAATAGCTATTAGTGCTATCATAGATACTAAAATCGAACAACCCAGGTTAAAACCATTGCGGTTAATGAGTGAAAACATTATATAGCTTCAAACCAATATGATTGGGAATCATGATTACCACATACTTACTTCTATGTATTCTTATCATTTCTTACACTAGGGAAACTATTGGGTATTTATACATGTGAGTTTGATTTATTTCACTTATGAGTATGGTCTCAAGCTGCGTCCATTTATTTATAAATGTCTCAATGCGGTCATTCTTTATAGCTGAGTAGTACTCCATTGTATAAAAATACCACAACTTTTTTATACATTCTTCAGTTGACGGACAGTTAGGTTGTTTCCAAGATCTGGCTATTACAAATTGTGCTGCTATAAACATGGGTGCACATACATCACTGTGGTATAATGCTTTCAGTTCTTCTGGGAATATGCCTAGAAGTGGTATAGCTGGGTCATATGGGGCTTCCAGTCCTAGTTTTCTGAGAAATCTCCAGACTGACCTCCACAATAGTTGCACTAGTCTACACTCCCACCAATAGTGCAGGAGACTCCCTTTTTTCCGCAGCCTCTCCAGCATTTGTTGTTGGTGGTTTTCTTGATCTTGGCCATTCTTTCAGGAGTGAGATGAAATCTCAGTGTGGTTTTAATTTGCATTTCTCTAATGACCAATGATGATGAACATTTTTTCATATATTTACTTGCCATTTGTATTTCTTCATCTGAGAATTGTTTTTTTATCGCAGATGCCCATTTTTGGAATGGGTCTTTGAATTTTGGGGATCTGATTTTTTTTAATTCTTTATATATTTTAGACAGAAGTCCTTTGTCTGAGGGGCAGTTCACTAAGATTTTTTCCCAATTTGTGTGTTTTCTTCTCACCATGCTGGAGACTTCTTTTGACATGCAGAAACTTTTTAATAAGAGGTGATCCCAGTTACTGATTCTGGGAAGTATTTCCCGTGCGGTTTGAGTCCTGTTCATGAATTCTCTACCTACTCCTATATCTTCAAGGTTTTTACCCAATTGATTTAGTGTTTCTGTTTTAATATTTAGATCTTTGATCCGTTTACATTTTATTTTAGTACATGGTAATAGGCATGGGTCTAGTTTTAGTTTTTGACATATGGAGAGCAGTTTTTCCAGCACCATTTATTAAAGAAACTGCATTCTCCCAGTGAACATGTTTGGCCCCTTTATTGAAAATAAGGTGGTTGGGTGTGCTTGTAGTTGTGGTTATATCTTCCAATCGATTCCACTGATCTTCAGCTCTGTTTTGGTTCCAGTACCATGTTGATTTTACTACAGTTGCTTTGTAGTATAACTTCAAGTCAGGGATTGTGATACCTCCTTCCTTGCCTTGCTGCTTAGAACTGTCCTTGCTATTCTAGGTCTCTTATCACTCCAGATGAATTTTAGGAGTGATTTCTCGAGTTCTATGAGGTATGTTGATGGTATTTTTATTGGGATTGCATTGAATCTGTATAAAAGTTTTGGGAGAATGGCCATTTTCACAACATTTATTATTCCTATCCATGAGCAAGGGAGGTTTTTCCATTTTCTGAGATCGTCTTCAATTTCATTTTTCAGTGTATTATAATTTTCCCTGTACAGGTCTTTCACTTCTTTCATGAGAGTAATTCCTAGATATTTCATTTTTTGGTTGCTAGTATGAAGGATGTGGCTTCTCTTATTTCTCTTTCTGTGACTTTGTTGTTAGTGTATAGGAATGCTATTGATTTTATAGCCAGCCACATTACTAAATTTATTTATTATATCTAGCAATCTTTCAATGGAGTTTTGGGGATCTTCTATATAGAGTATCATGTCATCTGCAAATAATGATAGCTTAACTTCTTCTTTTCCTGTCTTTATGCCTTTTATTTCTCTCTCTTGTCTAATTGCTCCGGCTAGTATTTCCAGTACTATATTAAATAGGAGCGGTGATAAGGGACATCCTTGTCTTGTGCCTGATTTTAAAGTAAAGGCCTTCAATTTTTGGCCATTTAGTATAATATTGGCTGTTGGTTTGTCATAGATGTCCTTTATTATATTGAGGTAAAGACCATCTATTCCAATTTTCTGCAGGGTTCTTAGCATGAATGAATGTTGGACCTTATCAAAAGTTTTTTCTGAATCTATAGAAATAATCATGTGGTTCTTACTTTTGGCTCTATTGATATGGTATATTACATTTATTGATTTATGTATATTGAACCATCCCTGCATGCATGGGATGAATCACACTTGGTCATGATGTATGATCTTCTTGATGATTTGCTGCATCCTATTTGCCAATATTTTATTGAGGACTTTTGCATCTGTGTTCATTAGGGAGATTGGTCTGTAGTTCTCTTTTTTAGTTGGGTCTTTCTCAGGTTTTGGTACTAGAGTAATATTTGCTTCCAAGAATGACTTAGGAAGGATTGCTTCCCTTTCAATTTCATTGAAGAGTTTGAGGTGTGTTGGCATTAGGTCTTCTTTGTATTTCTTGTAGAATTCTGTAGTGAATCCGTCTGGGCCTGGGCTCTTCTTTGTAGGTAAGGATTTAATTATGTTTTCGATTTCATTAGTAGAAATTGGGTTATTCAGTAGTTTTACATCTTCATGACCTAGCTTTGGTACTTCATATGCTTCTAGGAATCTGTCCATTTCCTCTGTGTTATCAAACCTTTGAGAGTAGATGTTTTCGAAATAGGTGTTGATGATTTTCTGTATTTCTATAGGGTCCATAGTGATTTCTCCTCTTGCATTCCTTATTGCATGAATTTGAGCTTTTTCTTCCCTTTTTTAAACAAGGTTGGCTAGAGGCTTATCAATTTTATTTATTCTTTCAAAGAACCAACTGTTTAATTCATTGATTTTTTGGATTTTTTTTTTTTTTTAGTCTCTATTGCATTGATTTCTGCTCTGATTTTTATAATTTCTTCTCTTCTTTTGGCTTGGGCTTCACTTGCTCTTCTTTTTCTAGATGTTTGAGGTATAACATCAGGTTATTTATTTGTATTTGTTCTGTTTTCCTGATATGTGAACTCAGTGCAATAAATTTTACTCTGAGGACAGCTTTCATTGCGTCCCACAGATTCCTGTAAGTTGTATTTGTGTTTTCATTTTCTTGTAGGTAGTGTTTAATTTCTTCTTTGATTTCCTCTGTGACCCACTGATTACTCAAGAGTGTGTTATTCAGTTTCCATGTGTTTATGGGAATTTTGTAGTATCTTTTATCATTAATTTCAAATTTCATAGTGTTATGGTCCGATAGCATGCAAGGGATGATTTCAACCCTTTTGCATTTATTTAGATATGTTTTGTGAATTAATATATGGTCTGTTTTAGAAAATGACCCGTGCAATGTGGAGAA